TGAAAACGGGATTCCCATATTTGTCTTGGCATTATTTTGGGATTTTGGGATGGGACGGGAAATATCCCGTCCCAACGGTCAGCCTATTTGTAGGAGTTGTATAATACTGTATCTATATAGAAGAAACTCTCTCTACTTGCTGCGATATTATAATGTACTACATGATTTTTCTTTAATAGAAAGGGTTAAACTCAGAAAGTAGGCAAATATTTCGTATTACCAATACGCAGTATAATTTTGGCCTATTATAGTTTAGCGTCTCGTCCAAATAACACTTCCCATAAAAAATAAAACATGCAAATCAATATTTATGGCCAGAGACAGAACGTGTGTATGTCCAGCTCTGAAAGGGGCAGAGAGAGAAAATTAAAAAAAGATGACAAGGGTGGGATTCGAACCCACGCCAAATTAATGACACGGAAACCTTATGCGAGGTTTGAAGAGTTCAGTTTACCTGAACCGTGCGCCTTAGACCACTCGGCCACCTTGCCTACTGATGTGAGTAGACATTTTGAGTTTAGATATATAGGCGGAATAGCTAGGACCTAGACAATGTCTGGCCTGCCAGATTGATTTATTCTTTCAATTACCGTGGTTGCAGGTGACTTGAGGTCAACCTTTTCTTTTTCCTCGTGCGGGACAAATCCGATTACATAAACACCAAGGCCGCTATGTAACAACAACCGACCTTTACAGTATTTCCCCCCGCACCATCTCTTTCAAACCACTTACCAACTAATTACTACCACCTGGACATGGCTGCTGATCCAGAATTTAAGTTGATTACTTTCTAAGCGGTAAATAAGCAATAAATTTATAAGTAGAGATAGTATATCTAGTATCCCTACAAGATCGGCAGTGGTCGCCTTGACCAAAATTAATATTTAAGACTAAATAGTATATAAAATTAATATACTCTAAAGGGTTGAAGAATTAAAAACAGAAATTGAATTTCATGTGTAGACGTTGGTATTTAACGATCTCGTGCGGGACAAATCTGCTTAATAATAGTCTTGGCGGTAACGTGTTGGTAGTCTAGGTCACATGAGCTCACCGTGTACACTCTTCTACCACAATGTGACATTGGGACTGTAATCCCACTGGGCCTACCTACCCTTTTGGGTCTAATTTGCGGAGCGTAGCTGTTTACTACGATTTTCTATGAGGTGAAGAGTTATTATTTCCTTCCTGTCTGTCCTCATATATTGGTCAGTTGTTTCTCGAGTCACATGTTGCTGCATTGTCATGTGGTTTTTAATTAGTTACCTGTCTGGCTAGAAACTGGGTGTTTTCTAGATTTTCTACCTGTCTAGAAACGCTCGATTCCTAAACTGTCTGCTTAACTAGAAAAATGCCTGATTTCCAGATTGTCTACCGAGAGCTAGAATAGGTAGTGGCCGCTTCAAGCTTGGTAGATTATATTATTTGTATAGATAAAATACTTGAGTTTTCTTAAAGAATATATAGGTGTTACACCCGGGGTTTCTTCCAAGAGTTCAGTTAGCTATCTTGGGTAGGTCGAGTGCAAACCTGGAGATCAGAATCCACTGATGTCCACACGATGTATTCACGAAGCGATGACCACACAGTCCCGAAGGGGTTCTACGAAGGTAAGTCACGAAGATACAAGAATAACTCAGGGTCGATGGCCAGACTACCAAGTACGTATACTCAGTAGTTAGGATAGTACGAACGAGGTAACTATGCAGTGACAATTACTGATTGTGAATAACTAAACTAAGTACATGAATAAGTGCCTTATATATCTTCCAGTAAACATAGTGATTTTCTATTCTAACTCTATTCTTCTAAAATAGTGAACATAGTACTTATAACCTGACTATGCCTTGGCGGTAGGTGCAACACAGCGTCGCGCTGTTGGCTCTGTTGGTCATGTGAGTTGATAGCTGGTAACAGCTGCTTTGACTCTCACGGGTGAATAACATGTAAAATAATCCTTTGGGTATTCCATTCCTATCCTAATACGGTCAAATGGCTTACTCGCTCAGTGGGCTGGGGTGAGTGCTCAGTCGTAGATCAGGCCTCAGGTACTTGAGGTGGTCATCTCTGCCGGTGACTGACGTCCTATGGAGTCTGCCCTGTTTGTCCGCCTTCCGATAAGTGAGCTAGACAATGTCCTGTGACAATAGGATGTAGCGAGAAATAGGAGCTGTTACGGGTAGCGTCCCAAGCACGTTTAGGGTAGTACTACTCCGTGTACATATACTGTGCCTGGGGTTCTCGAGTCTTTCGGGGCTCGATATAGTGATCCTTTTTAGCCTAGAAGGTCACCCCAGGGATTACATTATAAAAGAGTTTCATAGTAAGTCAATTGGATGAGCTTTGCAATTAATCAGCGTTTCTAAAAAAAATACTGATGTTGTAGACATAACGCCGAAAGGTTGTAAGATAGTTGATTAGGTTGTGGAACACTAGGCGGTCTGTAAAAGATCGATCCCTGGGGTGATCGCCTACCAACTGGACCAAAATGACCCTTTGTCAAGCCCTGAACGGCTTGACAACCCCAGGCGCGGCGGTATATATATAGTAGCACTAAACATGGCCGGTGCCCTCAATAAGGCCTTACCCGTGACACGCTCCGCAGATAGAAATGGTTCCGTACGGCGAACCCTAGATACATCATGTGAGAATGTAGATTTGATCGGTAAAACCATGAACGTAGCAACGAGGACGCTACAACTGATGACGTCCCTAGTAACCGATCAATTGCCTTACCCACCAATAGCTTGCTATATAAGTCCCGCAGTTTTAGGCAGAAGGTATCTATGGTGGTTCCCAATTCTCCATTGGCAATAATATATGAAAAACAAATCAATGTTTGTGGCCAGATAGACTTGTACCCGTCTCACCACCGACCCTACACTTGCAGTAGGGATCGGCTACAGCTCAATGAAAAACCTCTGTATAGTTCAATAAAAACACGAAAAAAATCGCCTATTTTGATCAAGATGAAGCCATATTAGGTCCACCATGCAAACCCATATAGAATAGATTTTCTCGTTTTTTTTAATTGTACGTGTGTACAGCCTTTTGAACAAGCTTTTCTTCCGCATTATAGGAGGATTGCATTGTTTATGAGGTGGGAATAACTTCAAAATGATTGTGAGGTTGAAATATAAATTTTTTTTTTAGAGAGCTATGCCGACCCCCTACTGCACTAATGCAAGTGGGGTTCGGCGGTGAGAGAAGTACATTAGGTTGGGGTGTGTAAAGATCCTTCCTAGCCAGGGAGCTGGTATTCCGCAGAGCCAAAAGGCTGACAACATTGATCGCAACTAGTTGGATCACCCCTAAGCTCCATATGAATAGCGCACTGAGGTCTTGTGAAGCCGCAGGCCTTAAAGCGGGGAGGAGAGGGAAAAAGATACTGAAAGGTAAAGATGACAAGGGTGGGATTCGAACCCACGCCAAATTAATGACACGGAAACCTTGTATGAGGTTTAGAGAGTTCAGTTTTGCCTGAACCGTGCGCCTTAGACCACTCGGCCACCTTGCCTGTTTCTATATTTAGAAATATGCATTAAGAATCTATATCTATTCGAAAGGTGCATCTATTGCTGCAAACGATGTTGAATCCTGCTGTTTGCAGTCAAGCGATATGATAACCCCCTTTATTATATTGTTCCTCATTATCTCGATGATTTCATTAATCTCTCTGGCCAAACTCCTATATGAAAGACACTTTGTTTTGTTACGTGTCCGTGTTCCTGTTCCTTTCTGCCTACCTCACTGTACCGCCCCCTTCACCGCTTTGTATGTAGAACGTAGCAACATCCTGCTCCTGCAGCTTAAAGAAATCAATCTTTCTACACCATAATCAGAAGCACCCAACATGTTTTTAGCTCCTTTATATGAAACCTCGTTTTTTTTCTAGATAGTTCAGTCAGTTAGTCATTCCAATTGTATCGTTGTACATATGTCATGGCAGCTCTTCGGAAGGGTCGCGTATAACTACTTGACAGATATTTATTAGAAAAATAAGTAGTAATTACTTAATCATTAAGGAAAATTATAGTAGATAATGGTGGTAATGGTATGTAATCAATTTGTGGTTGAATATATAATGTACTAAAACTTTAGTATTAGCTCATCTGCAACCACCCGCGAATGTATGGCCTCCAATACTCTGAACTACGGTCGTCAGTGACGTAATCTAGAGATCCGCTTTCTCATGGCCAGCTCTCGAATGGATCCTGAATGGCTCTGATTCTGTCCAGTCTGTTGCATACTTAGATTAGCCGCCATTTGAATGCTCTGCCATGATGTCTAGTCTACTCCAACTGATGATGTGACAAGCTCGAACGGACTTACTTCACAGTTAATACTTTGCCATGCAGCTCTTAAATCTCGGTAGGAATACTCTGCCATGTCGCTTTCACTAATATTTCTTTACCGCCGTACATCTCAATTATTCCGTAGTAAGACAGTACTGTGCGGTGGTGCCATTCTTCGTTCCAAAGTCCTTCCACCAAGGACACGATGAGTTCAAACAATCCAAAAAGACGACGCGATGCTCTAACGATAAACAAGGTTTATTTATTATATCACACTAGAGAACTCAGGTGAACTATAAGGGCACCGATCGATATCATGTATAAGCGAATAACACCTTTTGACATGGGCCTGCCCGGGGGCAGTTCTCCTCGCATGGCCAGGTAGATGACAGTTCCAGCATATTTCAGGTTGCAAAACCATCGCTTTTAGACAGTAATATACTTAGATCCTCTGGAATAACCTGTAATGTAAGAGAGCTTGTAAGAAAGGGGCGCGAGTGCTTGGGAGATTCTCAGCATATTAAAAGTGTGGGGGTAGAGAGAAAAAAAAATTGACTTGAGTTGCAGCGTGAATGCCAGCACGAATACTAGCAGGCAAAGAGCAATGAAGGTAGTGAATATTTAAGCAATCAAATCTGTACAGCTGTTATAGCCTCAGCAAGCATATGGTCTTTCTTAGGATGGTGGCTTTCCCTTTCTTTATGACACGTATTGCCTGTATTCTCACTACTTGGAAAACTCATCCTGTTGAGGCAAACGAAAGAATCTAGTGTAACAAGCAAAGAAGTATTACGAAGCTTTGCCACCTAAATGACAATAAGGTGTTAGTGGTGAGGAGTGCCTATCATGGTAAACGGTGACATGGGAGATAGATGAGACCTAGATCTACCAGCTGCCTAATATCAAACAAAATGTTATTCCCCTGAATTCTGAGACTGGCTACCTCCCTTCCCATCATCCAGGTATGTACATAAACCTGGCCTCCTGGCCTAGCAATATCTATCTCTTCTGCATTCCAGGCATTTGTTTCTACAAACGGAAGCTTATACAAATCAGGTTATTGTCTACACTCAAAGTAAGTAAATTATAGAGAGGGGGGGTAGGGGGGTAGAAAAAAGATTAAACGAACACAGCCAAACTACCATGAAACAACTAACCATAGAGTATATAAACATTAATTAGTGTTGCACGAGATGGGAAGAGAAGCAGGGGTATTACTGAAGTTGCGACTTCAAGTCTACTCTAAAAGGGACAATGGGGCTGACCCAGAAAAGTGTAATAGATATTGGAGCTGTTTTGTATATATTCCAAATGTATTTCATAGTTTTTGTTAATGTGGGGAAGTTGGGTGGTATACTAGTATCAATAGAGTATATTGAATTTGTTTCAAAATTGGTAGCTTTTTTCTTTAAACCAACGACTTAAATATTAGGTTCTGTACGGATACGAAAGTCTATATTGAGAAAACTTGCAGCTCGACCTGACTTATGGAAGAATGGTTAGCTAATTTATCATATAGCTAAACACCACATTATTTAGTCTAATCGTATGTACATACAGATGGGTGATCGAATCACCTTTAAGGGTGGGTCAATCTCCTAGCTCGCTATCTTGAAGCGGCAAAGTTTGAATAAGAACAAGGAAGAGGGTGCTTATAGCTTTTTGCACATTAGAATCGCCAAAAAGAAAATATCATCAGTTAATGTCTAAGCCATGTGTTTTTGTGCCGTAACCAACGCCAGTCGAAGATCAAAATTTCCATTGAAGATGTTGAATATCGAATCAGTCGCGGAATTGTGTTTATTTCTCAGAATGTAGTCTTGTTTAAGATTGCCACACCTTCTACATGGCCTGTTTGAGGGAAGAAGTCGAATCCTCTAATACTTTCGATCTCATAAAGGACGTTCTTTTCCGCGTCACCCTGGACCATAACAGCTACGTCCCTCGCCTGTGTATGAACATTGCAACTCACATAGATGACGCGACGAGGTCCGAAAGTCAGAAGTTGTTGGAGGAAGTCATCACTACAGCCCTTGCGGGGCGGGTCAATGACGAGAAGTGTCTGGTCGGGAGGATAGGGAACGTCTTTGAAAAGCGTTGCGGCATCTGCCGCGGCGAAGCCGGTATTGGGAAGAGAATTGGCACGCGCATTCTCCCGCGCAGAGACAATCGAATCTGCGGCCACATCAACACCGAGACTAGATTTGAAGAGAGGCGAGAGGGTGATTGTGAAAAGGCCGGACCCGGAATAGGCGTCCAGGAGATACTTAATGGGCTTGGACTCTTTTTGGTTGTTCTCCGGCAGTGCACGCTGACGGATGTACTCTGTAAAGCCGGAGAGAATAGAATTGTTGTTCTGAAAGAAAGCACCGGCTCTGTTGCTGAAGAGGTAATCATCGATATACTCGACGGTTGTACCGTTGGGATCCGTCACACAACGTTTCTCTTCAATATACTTTTCACGCTTAGTTTGAATTACATCGCCTGAGTCCTGGCCGATTTCGATCTCGCCATCCTTTATTACCGAACTGGCATCCACGCCGTCTTTAGGAACACGGGCGGTGGATTCCCGCAGCAGAATTGTTGCTCCTCTAGCATATTGCCCAATATTTTCCGCAACTCTCTTCCTCTCAGTTTTTAGCCCCTGGCGAACAATATCGGTGCCTAGAGGACAATCTTCGATATCCAAATCCCGGCGCTGATTCTTGTAGCAAAATCCGATGGGCGGCACCTCAGTACGGGGTTCCCTTGGGCCTTTCTGTTTCCTCCTTGTATTCCCTCCGGGGCCCGCAAAATGTGGCGTTAACTTCGTGCGATAACCGTATTGCAAGGGGGATGGGAAAGTGTCGTCAATTGCGGGGATCAATTCCGGAATCAAGCCAGAGAAGTTGGCAAAAGCCTTTTCCACGATGCGCTTCTTATGAGCCAGCTGATCCTCATAAGACATCATCTGTAGCTGGCACCCGGAACATTTGCCGAAATACTGACATCCTATCGCGGAATCATTTCGCTGAGAACCCGGCTCAATCACTTTAATAAAATCCGTCAAGCTGTAGGACAAGGATGGGAAATGCCGTACAACCTTTACCAAGGCCTTATCGCCGGGGACAGTGAAGGGTACAACGTAGACATGATCTGTATTCTCGGAAAGTGCGAGACCGTCACCAGTTGAGGATATCTCTGCGACCTTGACTTCAATTTCTGTGAAAGTTTCCGGTAGAGAAGGCGGCGGTGGTGTGGAAGCATCTTCTACATCGATCCCACTCTCTGGCTTGTGTTTCCGTAGAAGCTTGTCGATATCAGCCTGGAGGACTTCATCAAACCCGCTGCTCTTTTCTCGGTCAACATTGACCTTCTTGCGCCGTTTCGCACTCGTATCTGGCTTCTCGGGAGAGTTCTGCATTATGGTTGAGGAGAAAGGCGCAATACGGTATGGACGGTGGAATGAAAGAGGATTAGAGTGGACGATATGTCCAGTCCGTTGGGGGAAAATTGAAAAGCAGTATTTGCGCGATAGGGAGATACTCGCCCTATAAGCGAACATATATAATAGGTATAGGGAGAAGAGAACAGGAAAGGACAGGAACTGTTGCGAAAAAAAAAAAAGGACACAGAGAGAAAAGTAGCTTAACTTTTAGAGGGACGAGATGAGTGACCCAAAAAAGGTGGGCGGCAATTGGTCGAACCGGTCCGCTGAGAATTTCGTCGGATTCCATGTCTTTCAGTTCTTCCACCATCTAAACCTCCGTCCACCCTTCGCACCGCGGTCGATTCCACTTCCCCCCATCCTCCTTTTAACCTCCCCGGACTAGCTCTCAAGTGGCCTCTGCTGGCCAGAGAGCGCATATCCTTCAACATGAGCTTCGCACGGCCGGCAAGATGTGTGTTTTGCAGCTTTTCTCGGGGTGCCACCGCAGGCACTCGCGTGCCTAGTCGCCAATTCCACCCCTCGCCAACACAGTTGGACCGTAAACCGAAATTCCCTAGTTTCAAGACTCGAGATACGAAAACTTTGGATGAGATTACGCGGGAAATGAAGCCCAAGCACTTCCAGCCGTACACGGAAGAGGATAAGGCCAGCCTCAAGGAAGAATACACAGCCGAACAGCTAGCCGCAATCGAGGCTGGTGAAGCGGCAATTGATCCCAAAGATATGGCAGAGCAGTTCCGTATCCGTCAGGATCCCTTTAAGCTTCACTATCTCGATGATTTCTCTACCATT